CAAATGTACCTACTACTGCTTTTTTTATTTATTTATATTAACCGGCAGACAGTGGTGACTAAGTTTGTTGCGGCGCTTCTTCTCAGCACTTGCCAAATGTTGGCCTGAAAGCGCTGGTAGGGTAAAAAGATTATGAGACGTGTAGAGGCTCCTTAAGAGCAGAAATTCTGAAATGCATTAATTTTTTTGATTCATAGTTAAAATAACTAATTGTTAAATTTTGCTACTAATGGTAAAATATTAACAAAATGTAAACTAATAGTTAAAAATTTACTAAAATTCAAGCTAACCATTGTTCAAAAATCGTTTTTTCTGATATTTAACTACTTGTCAATTGACATCTGTCGAATTTGACTATTGATTATTTTAACTACGATCCAAAAAACTGGGCCTTACAATGATACCAAAGCATAGATACGTCTAACAACGGCGCAACACTAATTAACTAAGTCTTCCCTATGATCTGTTCTGCACCTGTCACCAGTTATAGATGTGGAGACCGCGCAAGTCCTTAGCCACCTTGTTTCCCCAGTGGTACCTGGGCGACCAAAGGTTGACGGTCACTTGGTCGCACTAACAACGTTGGTCGGTTAATTTCGTGAGGCGTCCACAAGTTGGCTATTATTACGACAAGAAGTCGTGAATTCTGTTCCCACTGAGGGCATGAAAATGGCAACCTTCAGCTCGATCATGACCTTCCATCACATGGGATGTAGGCCAAGAGCCCCGTTAGGTTACGAGTAAGTCCGATATGGCTCAAAATAAACACATTATTATTAAGAATACATTTTATTTCCGATCATGGGAGATTAAGACCTAATGTGACTACCAACATGTTGCAATAAATCATTATGACGAATTAATGAACTTTGTAATACATTCCTTCCTTACTGACATGGTAAATAGGTTGAGGATGGTTGTGCTCGAGGCAGTAAGGTATAAGTGTCTCAGGATCGTCCAATCTTACTTTAGCTTTGCAATTAAGGGTAGGTTTACTAGTACAAACCCACAGCTTTCCTTTGGTGTTCAGCTTATGATATGTGTAACCGTTCACCATTAAGAGGAAACCACCCCTAGACGAATTTATCATTTTGAACTGCAGACCTGAAAAGAGAAATACTTTAAGAGTACTACCCCTGAACTTAACGCATGCACGCAACTTTCTAGAATCCAAAGCGACAAAAAAAGTCTAGTTCGATTGTTGTAAATTGACGATAATTATTTTTTTCATCAACTTATTGTGATTCTGTTGAGAAAAAAACAAACTCAGATAAAAACAATGGAAGTAAAACAACCAGTACCTTTGTGATTGAGGATGCCGGGTGAAGTTAGCTACCATCCACCATCAGTCTGATCATGTTCTTCCATCAAATAAGGGCTACCTTTTTTGTGAGCTACTTTTTTACTGTAATTTGACGTTCATAAGTACCACTAGTGGTCTAAATTGAATAAAATATTTTTAATTCGATTTGATTTAATACTTGCCGTGATACCAGAGTAAATACAAATGAGTAGGTCATCTTCATAGAAACGCCCGAGCGCGGTTTGTACGCGCCGCATACGTATTGGCGCGCGCTCACATACAATCCGCGCTTGGTGCGTTTCTATGAAGATGACCTACTCATTTGTATTTACTCTGGTGATCTGTCTACTGATGAGAAAGAAACAATCTTAACAGCAATACAACAACGCTGATAAAAACAATGGAAGTAAGACAACCAGTGTCTTTGTGAATGAGGATACCGGGTGAAGCTTGCTACCACCGTCTAGTACCTACGCCTGATCATGTCCTTCCAAGAGTTTTCTCGTTAGGGTTAAAAAAACGTACTAGATAAGTCCGAGGTGGCTCAAAGTAAACACATTATTATTAAGAATACATTTTATTTCCGATCAAATGGGAGGTGAAGTTTGATATACCTTCCTTCCTTACTGACATGGTACGTAGGTTGAGGGTGGTTGTGATCGAGACAATAAGGTGTAAGCATTCCAACGTCCATCCTTACTTTGGCTTTGCAACTGTGGGATACTTTGCTGGTACAAACCCACATCTTTCCTCGGGAGCTCATCTTATGGTATGTGAAACCATTCACCATCAAGAGGAAACCATTTCTAGACGAATTTATCATCTTGAATTCGAGATCTGGAAAGAGTAACATAAATTAGTAAGGGAAGAAATTCGCTTCATAATCGTAAAAACATAAAATAAGCCACCATAGCAGAACGGTAAAGGTGTCGCCCGGTCGACTCGAGATCCGAGGAACGCTAGTTCGAATCCCCCGTCGCTCGACTATACAATTGTAGTGAACCTACTCGTAACACAAGCATATTTACTCGTAGCTTAGTACGAGGGGTTAACACTAAAGTCTGGTCGCCGAGCACGTAGAATTATGTCCAATGACCCCAAGCTACCTATCCTTATCGCTCGCGCGTAATTATATTGCTGTCGCGACTGGGCGACGGGCGGCAGCAGTGAGTGTGGGGTCATTGGACAAAATTCTACGTGCTCGGTGACCAGACTATAGAAAAAAGGTAAAATCTAACTACCTAAAGTCCGGTTGCCGAGTAGATAGAATTTCGTACAATGACCCCACGCTACCCGAAATTCACGAAATTCTATCTGCTCGGCGACCGGACTTTAGAAAGACGGACGCCGGTCATATGACTCCGCTCATACTATTACACTATTTATGTACAAAATAATAAACTTGTGTGAGATAACTTATAATTTTATATTTAAATGCATTTTTCACATTTCAATGTCTTATTTACATTACAGGATCCACACAATGGCTTACAACAAACGAAAGGGTAACAAACATGTTAACTCCAGACATCCATACAAACTTTCGCATTTATAATATTAGTAGGAAGTAGGACTAGTAGGATAAATAAGTGACTAAGGGATATAAGTACTTATGTCTTATTTTGAGTTGAGTGCGTTTTAGTGCAATGCATTATTCAATACTCAATACTTAATAATTTATTGCTTCCATAATGTTACAAAAGGTGGTATTGGTAAGGTAAGATACAATTATGGACTCCGTCGGGCACTGCGGAAGATTTTTAGATTTATTACATTAATTATTCTATGATTATTATTTATCAAATTTATTTTTTATCTGTATTTTAACTAATTTACTAATATTTTGGGCTGGTCTCAAACAATTGTTACAATTCCATACCCAATTTTACATCAATTACACAATACTTCAAACCCTTCAATCGAGTCGCAATAGATAATTATCTATGAACAATTTATAATTGTTCCGCAGTCGTAATATTGTGATTGTGCGACCGCTTAGGGATTGATAGGCTAAGTAGACCATAATAAGTATACAAGATGTTGATTTTAATCCTCGCCATATTTATTTAGGAGCACTTTTTACCTATACAGGATGGAAACGATAAGTGATCTCACTCGATTATTTCTAAACTATACAAGATATCGAAAAACTGGTTACTGATTTAATTTTAATTTTCTTTATTAGGAAAACATACAGCTTATATTATGATACATGTAGAATAAAAATAATTAGTCTTACACAAGCCTATGAGTTTTCACTGATAATTTAAAATTGAAAAGACAGATTCACAATACTTAATTATCTAACTTAAACATTTATAAACCATGCGCAAATCTTATTTGTAAGGTGTATTAATACACATTTTATGCCTTTATTAGACCACGGAACCGCATAGGCCTCTCGTGAAATATGTCAACGTGACCATAATCACTGTCATACTTTTTGCAGGCTCTAATGACAAAACAGTGATCCTGAAAGTGTTTCACAAGCTCTTTCAAACGGTACCAATAATAGGTTACAGAATAAACTGGAACTATCCTAAAATTCAATGTTTCCAGCTTCCATACTAAATGTATGCCGACAACACATTATTAGAAGTGTAATTTATTTTTTGTTAATTAATAAACTTAAAAAGTCGGTTAAATTAACTCGTAACTTGCATCTTATTTAAAATTATTTGTGAAAAACATTAGTTTTAGGCTTTACTTGCTATAAAATTATTAAGAGATGAGTGCCATGACTGTGATAGTACTAAATGTATGGAAGACGGAAACATTGAATTTTATGATAGATCCAGTTTATTCTGTAACTTGATATTGATACCGTTGGATAGAGCTCGTGAAGCACTTTTAGGATCAGTAACCAGTTTTACGATATCTTGTGTAGTTTTTAAAATTATGTAACTTTACTAAATGTATGGAAGTTGAAACTTTGAATTTTCGGATAGTTCCAGTTTAATCTGAAACTTATTATTAGCACCGTTTGAAAGAGCTCGTGAAGCACTTTCAGGATCAGTAACCAGTTTTTCGATATCTTGTATAGTTTAGAAATAATCGGGTGAGATCACTTATCGTTTCCACCCTGTATACACTACGTTCACTCAAGAGCAGAGTGAGCAGGATAACCAGCGTGCCGCGCGAGCACGTTCGCCCAGTGTGGACGCACCATTAGATTATTTTAGTATCTACAAGCTCCTTCATTGTAATAGCCTCTTGGTCTGGAGAACACGTAGCTTCCATCTATGGCGACGTGGTACGATGGTGGGTCGTGGTTGTGCTTTAAATTGTACGTGGTAATTGTGAAGTTCGTCTCCAGTGTCACTTTGGCTGAACATCCAGAGGTCCTGCTAGAGCATGTCCATGTCTTTCTTTTACCTTTGCATAGTTTGTAAAAGGTATATTCATTTATCATCATCAAATCCACTCCTCGAGATGATCTCACCATCTTGAATTCGATCTCTGAAAAGAAATAACAATTTAAAATTAGATATCTAATTCCAGCGGAAAATATGGACATGTCCTAAGGATATTACTTACTATAATATTGGGTATTTAGAATTAAAATTACTAGTACGGGACTATTCCCACCACACCGCTGAAACTCCTGTGTAGCTTGGATGTACAGCCTACTTAATATTCTGTGTTACAGGTCAATAAAAACCCAACCATTGAAGGACATAATTTATTGATAGTGCCTTAGAGACTATTTTAAATTACTTAAAAAGAAGGTTATAAATTCAACTCGTTTATTATTGGAACTACACTATATAATTATAATAATCTATTATGGTTAGGCTAACCAAACGTCATATACATATGTTGCGGGCAATTGTCCTATTTCATCTGGGCCTAGAAATAGGTTTCCCAGGCTAAGTAACAGTTTAGTATACTCACACAATGTACAAACAGTGTACCTACCATGAGTTTACGTTAGGTGTGCTCGCTAGCGAGTACGTCAAAAATCACTATGAAGATTTTGTTTCTTCAAAGTAGCCGCTAGGGGCGCTGCACAATATGTCATACAATTAATGTCATTTTTTTACGTAGTCGCTAGCGAGCACACCTAACGTAAACTCATGGTAAGCACACAGTACGTGCAATAGTGCGCGGTTTTACACGTACTTAATTTTATGCATAACTAGACAGGTATTTGACCGCAATCACACCTGGTGTTAAGTGAGATGCAGACGATGGTACATAGATATGTACCATCACAGGGCAGATGCCCTGATGTAAGTGTCTAATTGATTTTTGTGTGAATCTGTGGCCTTAGGAACCATTTGGACCCTCAGCCTGTTGTTTTCCTCTATCCTTCACTCTCTCCCCTTTCTGCAAGAATTTTTTCAAATATTTTGGTTTTGAGTCGCGTCGCCGATAAAACACGTAGTTTCCGTCTGGTTTGACGTAGTACGCGGGGGCTCCGTGATTGTGCTCCAAGCTGGTTACTCGGATGGTGTCATCCACCAGCTTCACTTTGGCTGGGCAGCCCGAAGTCCTGCTAGAACAAGTCCAGGTAAGCGCCCCTTTTTTCGGCGTGTAGAACGTGAACTCGTTTATCATCATCAACGCGAATCCTCGGGATGTCGTAATCATTTTGTATTCGATCTCTGAAAAGAAATAAAATGAGTAAGGTACTTAATTGAAGTCTTTACGTGAAAGTAGGTCAAACAGTAAGGACATAATGAAAACCTGTAACTTAATAATCTATGCATAATATAATGCATGGTGGTTCCTTTTAGAACGTAGGTGCTCACTACGATGGGATTTTGCAAAATTCAACCCCTAAGGGGGTGAAAAGGAGTCCACGCATACGAAGTCGCGGGTGGCCGCTATTGCTAAATACATAATATAAATTGCTGTGCGCTGGGCATACCCAGTACTTGACACGCGCTGATGAGTTAAAGAACCTCAGCATGATATGGAGAAAAAACCTTGGACATTATACACTATGCCGTCCAGTCCCAAACTAAGCAGAGCTTGCAGTAAGAATACCAGGCAACCAATATACATTATACTTACATACTTTATTATACACAAAAGACATTCAAATACAAAAACGTATGCACGACATCCCGCACATTAGACATGACGTTTAAATACTTATTTGATTTCTTAAATTTTGTATCCCATTTATGAAATAAACCGCAATGGCGCTAGAGCGATAAAGCCAATGGAAATACAAGAAATAAAACTTCTTACACGCACACGGAAATAATTTACTGCTATAGTCTGGTCCGGGAGCACGTAGAATTTTGTCCAATGACCCCATCTATCGCTCGCGGGCACACTCACTGCGGGCGCCCGTCGCACAGTCGCGACAGCCATATAATTACGCGCGAGCGATAAGGATGGGTAGCTTTGGGGTCATTGGACTATACACTACAACATTTCTTATCATGATTTAAAAGCTACGTATATTATACCTACATGCAATACTAATACAATTTATTTTTGGCACAATGATTATGTGACGAGAATTTTGTGATCTTTAAAGAGTGGAAGAATTAAATGAATAAATAAGCACTTCAATAAAAGATCAACCATTTGGGCAAGTAAAAGTTCATGCAATCATATCCTGCCTAAGGTTTCTTCACAAAAACAAAAAGAAAAAAAACACTAGCGTCTGGCCGTGACGTCACATCGACGTTCTGGTACGGACGGGGCGAACGCGAGGTGTGCGGATGAGTGCAAGGGAAAGTCGCATTCCAGCGAGGTACGCAGTTGTACTGACGATTATTTTATTTAATGATTGTGTTCCCTGATATATTTCACCCGATAAAACACGTAGTTTCCGTCTGGTTTGACGTAGTACGCGGGTGCACCGTGATTGTGCTCCAAGCTGGTTACTCGGATGGTGTCATCCACCAGCTTCACTTTGGCTGGGCAGCCCGAAGTCCTGCTAGAACAAGTCCAGGTAAGCGCCCCTTTTTTCGGCGTGTAGAACGTGAACTCGTTAATCATCATCAACGAGAATCCTCGGGATGTCGTAATCATTTTGTATTCGATCTCTGAAAAGAAATAAAATGAGTAAGGTACCTAATTGAAGTTTGTACGTGAAAGTAGAACAAACATTAAGGACATAATGAAAACCTCTAACTTAAATGCTAACGCCCGTATTCACAAACATAACTATGAGGTCTCACAGCGAGCTTGGACACACGCACAGGGTGACACACGAACCAATCACAGAACTTAAGCGTAAAATACATCCAAATTGCTGTGCGTGGAACATCCAGTACTTGACACGCGCTGATGAGCCCCAACATGGTATGGAGAAAAAACATTATACACTACGCTACGCCGCGCCGTCCAGTCCCAAACTAAGCAGAGCTTGTATTATGAATACCAGGCAACCGATAAACACATACTTTATACATAATATACTTTATTGTGCACAGAAGACATTCAAATACAAAAACGTATGCACGTCATCCCGCACATTAGAAATGACGTTTAAATCCTTACTTGATTTCTTAAATTTTGTATCCCATTTATGAAATAAACCGCAATGGTGCTAGAGCGATAAAGCCAATGGAAAAACAAGAAATAAAATTTCTTACACGCACACGGAAATAATTTATTTCTGTAGTCTGGTCCGGGAGCACGTTATGTTGCGGTCGCGCTCACACAGTCGCGACAGCAATATAATTATGCGCGAGCGATAAGGATGGGTAGCTTGGGGTCATTGGACAAAATTCTACGTGCTCCCGGACCAGACTATACATTAAAACATATTTTCTTATCATGATTTAAAAGATAGGTATATTATACCTACATGCAATACTAATACAATTTATTTTTGGCACAATGATTGTGCCAAAAATAAATTGTGTGACGAGAATTTTGTGATCTTTATGGAGTGGAAGAATTAAATGAATAAATAAGCACTTCAATAAAAGATCAACCATTTGGGCAAGTAAAAGTTCATGCAATCATATCCTGCCTAAGGTTTCTTCACAAAAACAAAAAGAAAAAAAACACTAGCGTCTGGCCGTGACGTCACATCGACGTTCTGGTACGGACGGGGCGAACGCGAGGTGTGCGTGTGAGTGCGAGGGAGAGTCGCATTCCAGCGATGTACGCAGTTGTACTGACGATTATTTTATTTAATGATTGTGTTCCCTGATATATTTCACGACCACGTTGCCATCCATTACATGGAGCGCTGCTCTACACCCCTGCCTGTAATACACGCATCTTGTTTTAGGATACCTCACTTCGTGTTTCGTGTATCTTTGTCCGTCAAAGACGAGCACGATTCCATTTCTGAACTCTTCGTAATACAACCCTGAAATAAATGGAAGTTTTTATTACAACCCAGTCGAATTAACTGGGCACCTGGCGGCCGTGAGGTCACATCGATGCTCTGGTACAAAGTTCGCAACACTTCATTGTTATAATTGGAATAAGGTTGTGCACCTACAAGGTGGACCAACGACATCGTAAAGGTAGCAGGGAAGCACTGGACGTAGGCCGCTACCAATCGATCAACATGGAAAGCATTGGGGGAGCACTATGTTCAGCTGTGGACGTCCTATGGCTGAGATGATGATGATGATGATGAAGGTTGTGTTGTAAAATTTTTGGGCACTTTGGGTGTCACGAACTATGTATTTGACGCTGACTGTACCAATGTAACGTTGGGCCTAGTCAAAGAGCCTATTTGAACAAGTTTAAATGTAATAAAGTGCTAAACAAATAATTTTATTCTGTCATTCTTTATTTCTTTCCATGCGTACCAAGTAAATACGAGTAGCTAGTTAAAATACATACAATGAGATCAAATAATTTCCACTTTATTTGTAAAATAACTTGAAAATATTTTCAATTCAATTCGATATTTTCAAGTAATTTTAAAATCTTTGTTTGAGATGCTGCATACTGATTAACAGCCCGACTAAACTATCTCGGCCGACAATAACGCCCGCATTCACAAACATTACTAAGAGGTCTCACACACATATTGACACACGAACCAAGAGCTTTCTATTTTCTGCTTCACTTAAGCAAGCATCGTTTATGTGTAAGTGTAGTTTGCGGGGTGTCTTGACGCCAGAAAATTTTAACAATTTGAAATATGATGAGTGTGATCAGTTCTTGATACGATGATAACATTATATTTGTCGCTGTACACCACAGCTCGGCAGCCTTTGGAATGGTTGGTACACCTTCATCGAATCTTGGTCGTCATGGTCCTGACGTCACTTCGACGTTTTGGTACGGACGGGGCGAACGCGAGGTGTGCGTGTGAGTGCGAGGGAGAGTCGCATTCCAGTGAGGTACGCAGTTGTACGTGGTTGTACTGACGATTATTTTATTTAATGATTGTGTTCCCTGATATATTTCACGACCACGTTGCCATCCATTACATGGAGCGCTGCTCTACACCCCTACCTGTAATACACGCACCGCCATCTTGTTTTAGGATACCTCACTTCGTGTTTCGTGTATCTATGTCCGTCAAAGACGAGCACGATTCCATTTCTGAACTCTTCGTAATACAACCCTGAAATAAATGGAAGTTTTTATTACAACCCAGTCGAATTAACTAACCTGGCGGCCGTGAGGTCACATCGATGCTCTGGTACTTCATTGTTATAATTGGAATAAGGTTGTGCACCTACAAGGTGGACCAACGACATCGTAAAGGTAGCAGGGAAGCGCTGGACCAGGCCGTTACCAATCGATCAACGTGGAAAGCATTGGGGGAGGACTATGTTCAGCTGTGGACGTCCTATGGCTGAGATGATGATGATGATGAAGGTTGTGTTGTAAAATTGTTGGGCACTTTGGGTGTCAAAAGTGTGTCTGAAAGAGCCTAATATTTGAACAAGTTTTAATGTAATAAAGTGCTAAACAAATAATTTTATTCTGTCATTCTTTATTTCTTTCCATGCGTACAAAGTAAATAGCTAGTTAAAATACATACAATGAGATCAAATAATTTCTACTTTATTTGTAAAATAACTTTAAAATATTTTCAATTCAATTCGATATTTTCAAGTAATTTTAAAGTCTTTGTTTGAGATGCTGCATACTGATTAACAGCCCGACTAAACTATCTCGGCCGACAATAACGCCCGTATTAACAAACATTACTAAGAGGTCTCACAGTGCGCGTGGACGCACAGGGTGATACATGAACCAATCACAGTGCTATATTCAACGCTGAGCGTTCGATTTACTGCTTCACTGAAGTAAGCAACGTGTAGTTTGCGGGGTGTCTTGACGCTAGAAAATTTTAACAATTTCAAATATGATGAGTGTGATCAGTTCTTGATACGATGATAACATTATATTTGTCGCTGTACACCATAGCTCGGCAGCCTTTGGAATGGTTGGTACACCTTCATCGAATCTTGGTCGTCATGGTCCTGACGTCACTTCGACGTTTTGGTACGGACGGGGCGAACGAGAGGTGTACGGGTGAGTGCGAGGGACAGTCGCATTCCAGCGAGGTACGCAGTTGTACTGACGATTATTTTATTTAATGATTGTGTTCCCTGATATATTTCACGACCACGTTGCCATCCATTATATGGAGCGCTGCTCTACACCCCTGCCTGTAATACACGCACCGCCATCTTGTTTTAGGATACCTCACTTCGTGTTTCGTGTATCTATGTCCGTCAAAGACGAGCACGATTCCATTTCTGAACTCTTCGTAATACAACCCTGAAATAAATGGAAGTTTTTATTACAACCCAGTCGAATTAACTGTCCATACTGATTAACAGCCCGACTAAACTATCGGCCGACAATAACGCCCGTATTCAAAAACATTACTCTGAGGTCTCACAGTGCGCGTGGACGCACATCATCATCATCATCATCATCATTGTCCACTGCTGAACATTGGCCTCCCCCAATGCTTTCCATGTTACCCGGTTGGTAGCGACCTGCGTCCAGCGCTTTCCTGCTACCTTTATGATGTCGTCGGTCCACCGTGGACGCACAGGGTGACATGCACTAATCACACTGCTATATTCAACGCTGTGCGTTCGATTTGCTGCTTCACTTAAGCAAGCATCGTTTATGTGTAAGTGTAGTTTGCGGGGTGTCTTAACGCTAGAAAATTTAACAATTTCAAATATGATGAGTGTGATCAGTTCTTGATACGATGATAACATTATATTTGTCGCTGTACACCATAGCTCGGCAGCCTTTGGAATGGTTGGTACACCTCCATCGAATCTTGGTCGTCGTGGTCCTATGCTTGGAGAACTTATAACCGCCCAGTATGAGCATCATTCGACCTTGACTGGTTGTCGTGAACACGGGCATTATACCTGAAAAAAATATCTAGCTTTAATACTCCATGATGTAATTGAAATCACTGGCATCATTTTAAAATAAAGAAAGTTTAAGACTAATGTTTTACTGCATCATGTTGGTAATAATTGAATTATTTTATTTTCTCTTTAAACCTTTTACAATAATACATTGATTGTCATACAAACTTAACCCATCACCTTGTCAAAATTATCGTTTCGTTTTCCAATGTCTGCTATGTAAATGGCTATGTAGATTTTTTATTTAGAAGTGACGTCGCGCGACATTTCAACTCAATATAATACTGTATTCGATTATGAAAAAAATTAAAAAATACGTGTCCAATATTTTTTTATTATCTGTCTGACGGACTAAACAGAATTTCGATTTCATTACCCAGTCATCATCACTAATGTGATGAAGATCTATGATGAAGGGACGATTATCACACTGCACCGCGCGGCGCTGTTTCGCGTGGCTACATATAAAGTATCCCGCGCGTAGACGCGTTGTCAGTGTGTTGTGCCGCGCGTGTTTTCTATACAAACTGAGGTACTTGCATACAATGATTAAATCTGTCGTCCCGCGTACCGCGGCGGAGCGCGGTGCAGTGTGATAATCGCCTAATTCCTTCAGTGGTAATGGGAATGCGCATGTCTTGTCACTATTATGGCGCTGTTCAACTTGTCGCTGTAGGCCACAGCTGGGCAGCCTCGAGAGTGGGAGGTGCAC